AGCAAGTAACATTTTTGAGCATTTATTATAAACCTTCTACAAGCATTATCTACTTTGATCCTCAGAACATTCCTAAGAGGAGGATATTCTGATCCCATTATGCTCATGAATTATGGAAACCTAGAGAAGTTAAATTACTTCCCCCAGGTTGTACAGACAGACTGAGCAAACTTCAAGATTGAACCCCGAGCCTGTCCTCTTAACCTCTACTTCTAACTTTCACCTCCGGCAGTAAATACTGAGATGAGTTGTCTGTACTTTTGCAGCTGTGTTCCCTGTGGAGCTTCATGGAGCTTGTTTTTTCCAGATCATCTATTTCACATTTTTGAGGTGTTTGCATAAAGGATCAGTGTATTTAGGCATATATTTTGGCATAGAATATTGAATTTAGATGCCTTCAGCTGCAAATAACAGAAAATTAAAATTCATTTGGCTTAAACAAAGAAGACATTTACTTCATACTATGCAAAATCCAGAGATAGTAGACTTTCAAGGCTGATTGAGTCAGTGACTCGGTGGTGTCACCAAGATTGGTGACAGCCTGGGGTGCTGTCTCCCCTGGGTTCTCCTTCTTGAAAGTGTGGAGACCTTTCTCAGTAATGCTCCAACAGATACTTACTCAGACATCACCAGACAAAACAAGGCACTCAGTCAAGAGCAAGGGCAGTATGGCAGGTGTAGCTGGCTTGGGAGCTGTGTGAGATGCTTCTAGCAGAGAGGGACCAGCATGAAGGCTGTGCCATTGGCCAAGAGTGTCTAAAAATGAGCTCTGTGTCTCTATCTCAGGTTAGTGCTGGGCTTAAATGTGTGATTTGGGGAAAATTATTTGATAATCTCTTTGTCAGAATTTTGCCATTTGGAAAATAATTTCTGTCGTCTTCTTGGATGTTTGATTCCTGGTGTTATGTCTCAGTAGTTTTCTTCTGATTATTTAAGATTAGTGAAGGAGTTTTAATGTCTTCATTAAGAAATTGCTGAATAAGAAACCTAGTCTTAGGGGTGATTTTGAGGGTTTGGAGAGGAGATGGTGTTCTGATCAAGAGATACAGTGCTTTTCAAGTTCTGCCTGGCTCGTTCAGGTGCCCAGAGAAGATTTACATACAGGAAGTGAAATACTAGCAGGTGGCCTGATGCCTCAGATCTCAGCACAGAGACCTCTGCAGAGTGTGTGGCCTGCTCACCACTCACTCTGCAGCCAAAGGTCAGTTTCAGGATTTGCCACCCCTCTTTCTTTCACTCTTGCCCTGCCAGCTATGGTGTGTCTACGATTAAAGACATAAGGGTGCTGAGCCTGTGGGCCTCCCCATGCCTGTGGGCCTCTATAGTGCAGACTGCACTCCATGCTGGTGACTGTGGCCAGGCCCATCCCTGTCCTTCTGAGGACAAGGGGGATAGGCAGGGACTCCTTAGGGGTGGGACAGTTTTCTAACAGAGCTCTCACTGGACGTTAGGCTTTTGTCTTTTGATATAACTGAGACCAATTTGTTTTTGAAAAAGTAACAGTTTAGTGCATCAAAAATGTTACTAAAGTTTAAGAATCAGGTGAATTTTAAATATTTAGCACAGAATGGAAAATTCTGGATAGCTGTGGGTTTACCCTCTTTTGGTACCACCAGTTTGAGCATTTTAACTGTTTAGGATATAACTTTTTGTTTTTATGTGCCACATATATCCTTTTTTAAAAAAACATTAGCTAAATATGTTGAACATGATTTAGTTGTCAGACTTGCAGGGACTGCGTGGTCCTAACCATTTTGCCATAGCATTGTTTATGAATTTTGTGTCTGTATTTTATGCTTTTTTGCGTTACCTGCTGTCATTGTGTCATAGATCCTTTCTTAATGCTGTCAGTTCTTAGTGCTGGCAACCCCTCTTCATCCTCTGCTTCCATTATGGGCAGGAAAACACCCAATCAAAATAACACTCCATAGGCCAAGAGCCAGGGGCATAAGCTCCTGACCTCTGAGTCACTTTTTGCATCTTTTTTTGTCAGCTATGTCTTAATACATGAGTCTGGAATTTATCCTTTTTAGATGAAGATTTTTTTCTTTTTTTCTTCTTTTTCTTTCTTCCTTTTTTTTTCTCCCTTAAAAGATAAATCTCACTCGGTTACCCAGGCTAAAGTGTGTGGTATGATCAGAGGTCACTGCAGCCTTCAGCTCCGGGGAGATGAGGATTTCTTATACTTGGATAATTTGTGAAGACTGTTGTTATTGGGGATTTAGTTGGTAGCAGGTGTTTCTCTAGTACTTTTTGACTGTTAAGATTTATTGAACTTTCAGAGTCAGATATGCCAGTGTCTAGAACAGTATTGTTGTTGTTGTTGTTTTTTGCAGTTTTTGGCCGGGGCCGAGCTTGAACCCACCACCCCCGATATATGGGGCTGGTGCCCTACTCCTTGAGCCGTAGGCACTGCCCCTAGAACAGTATTTTTCAACCTTCTTTATCTTACAGCACACTTGAACCTGTAGTTAAACGTCTGCGGCTCACTTAAAATAAGTCATTCAAAAAAAAAAAAGAGTAAAAAGAATAATATACTTAACTGTGCCTTAAACTTCTTTCAGAAAAAAATTAATTAATGATCTTTAAATATTTCTGTGGCAGAGTTCTCCACCTCCTTCTTGGAGACTGCTCACTGGTAAAAATGGCCAGCAAGATGATGAACGCTGTACCCACCTAGTGAGAAGGTCCAGTCTGTGTAGATCAGATCTTTTAATTTTTGAAAGTAGTGAGAAAAGAAGCAAGCTTGAGTCGGACTTAGAGTTACTAAATAGAAGTGATGCCAATTCTCCTGAAATCTCATCTCATCTTTTCTGTTATCACAAAGCTAAGTAAGGGTTCCCTCTCCTCCCCCATTAAAAAAGAACACTTCTTAATGAGGAAGGCCAGTGTTATAGGATGTCAAGTAGGACCCTTTCACTTCTTTACAGAGGTGCTCATGGCATGAGAGACTCAATTCTAGAATGGAGTGATGTCTCTCTCTGTAGGATTTGCAAAGGAGATCTTTAAGAGTTGGTTTTGTTGTAGGGGCGGCGGCTGTGGCTCAAGGAGTAGGGCACCAGACCCATATGTTGGAGGTGGCAGGTTCAAATCCAGCCCCGGCCAAAAACTGCAAAAAAAAAAAAAAGAGTTGATTTTGTTACTTGTATCCTTTGTCCTTTTAATGAGCACAAAGGGAGAGATTACATATAAGGTGAGGAGGGTTTCTGTGGAGATTCCTTTGGGGACAGTCATCATCCCCACTTGGGCCAGTGATTAGGACCTCTGTGGGGCTATCAGTTGAGAATATTCCTTGCAGCGGTGAGACACAGAGCTCATGGAGAGTGGGGGAAGCTGCGCTGGGAAGGCTGTTTCCTGTGACCAGATGAACATTTTGCTGGAGAGAGCAGACTCTAGACCAACTAGAAGTTGTGCCTAACAGGACTGGTCACCTGAATGGGGAGGGGCTCCAGAAGGGAGAATCTTAGCAGTAAGACTGGGACACTGCAAGACCAAGGAATGGCAGCAGGAAGCAAACGCATCCCAGAGTCATGGGGTTGGAGGGGACTCTGAGCAGCCTTCAGGGAACTCATGAAGATGCCCACCAGACTTAAATCACTTTACTGTCTGGCAGGCAGAGAGTACAGGCCACCTGTGACAGTGCCAGGCACAGGTCCAGAAGGACATTCCATTCTTTCCTCTCTGTCCAGCCTACCTAAGCTCTACTCTTTGAGACAGTGACCAGCAGAGGAAAGGTACAGAGCTATGTATTTCCCCCCTAAATGAGAAGACTATCAACTATTGCTCTTAGTTGGGGAGAGGGAAGGAAAAACATTACCTTTCGTTGAAGTTTAAGTGTTGATCTTGGACTGAGCTGTCTAATTTCTGAATTTGTGATAATGGGGCTGTATTTGTGGTAATGGGGCAGCAAGATTCTCCCAGATAATAGTAAACAGAAAAGTCATTGGACCTGCCCCCACATTTTCTTCTGTGATGAGGGTAATTCCCCCACTGAATAAGTACCAAAGAGATACTGGGCTGTTATGTCTTATTTGTATAGTACCTGGTAAGTTGAGTTCGTCCAGGGTTTTGTGATAGGGACACATCGTAGAGGAGACAGCAAATCAGAGGAACAAAGTAAAAACCAACATGATATTTGCAGGAAAGTATCGTCTCTTTGAGGTTGTTAAAGCATTGGGTTGGAGGCCTAGCATGGTAGAAGTGAACCCCAAAAGACAAGCAGATGCAGTTCCTGGGGATGCTTGTGCTGCAGATGGGCAGGGCAGCAGCCACACTGCCAGGTTGTGATCCCTGGGCAGATAGGGCCCAGCCACCAAGCTTCTGCCGTCCAACACGGAGCCTGATCTATGGTAGAGACTTCATTAATACTTGAATGAACACATAAAAGAATTGATCCAGAAGTTGATCTTGAAAAGGTGGGCAAGATAAGGGAGTTGCACATAATGTATAGTCTGTTGTTATCACAACTTTTCTTAAAATATACTAGACATGGACATGTAAATATGAGTGCTGTGCAATTCAATTTAGTTTTATTAGTGCTTTGATGATTTTCTTAGATCTTGTATGTCATAAAATAACTTTCATATGGGCCTTTAACAAAAAGCATTTTAGCAAAGTAACCTAATGTTTTAAAATGTCACTGTATCCAAATTTTTGTTTCTATCTATTAGGTGAGTAATTATTTCATATTTTGATAGGTGTCATAAAATTTGACTCAGCCTGATGTTTAATTCCTCTTTAAATCTTCTATTCTTTTATTGAAATGATTTGTTTTTCAACTAATTTGCTGTGTTTTATATATAAAATCAAACTTTACATGGTAGAAAATTAACTATGATTTGGGACATCTATTTCATACATGTATACAAACATTCTTGATAACGTATTATATATAATTTAATGTTTGTATCCATGTTTATTACTCTAGGTACTCAGTAACGTCTGTTACATTTTTGTAGTAATAATAGTTGAAATATATTTTAAACCTTTTTTCTCCTCAGAAGCAAGTTTCCCCAGAAGGACTTAGAAATGCTCTTCCCTGGAATGAGTGCTGATTTCACAAGTGAGAATTTTTCAGCTACCTGGTATCTCATAGAGAACCACGCAACCACCAGGTTGGTGACTGCTGGACTGTCAGCTATGAAGGGTTTCACTCATATGGTGATAATGAGATTGTACCTCAACTTAAGTTTTAGGCCTGGCTGTACATGAAGTAACATAGTTTTAGGTTCATGAGCCCTTTGACTTTTGGTGGGTCCATGAACAACAGTTTTCCATTTCCTTATTTGTTAAGAGATTGTTAATTGTCTCTTATTTCTTGCTATCATTTTATGTTTTCATACTTTTCGTTATGGGTGCAGCTCATCGGGACTGTGTGAGTTGTAGCTGGGTACATAAAATGGTATGTGTGATTATGATCTCTTCCCATTCAAATAACACAGAAGTTTTAAGTTCTGGTGTAGAATTTGGAACACACCAACTTCTCTGACCAGACAATAAAGGAAGATGAGTTTACCATTATATAAAGACTGACTTAAAATTAGCCAAAACGTAGACAAGGCTGTATATTTAAAAGAAAAGTGTTCTTTTTATTTACTAATTACATTTTACTGACTCTCTGGGAAAGCAGATTTGTAACTTATTTGCAAGATTGATTTAAAACCATTATATTGAGTAGTGAAATATTTGGATAAATGATTTATTTCTTAAAACATATTTTTACTTAAAAATAGATTTTATCTTGGATTGATATAAGAGTACATGTGATTAGGTTGCATTGTTTCCATTTGTAAGGTAAAGTCCTAGTTGTAGTGAGTCCTTTAAACTCTTTGTAAATCAACTTATTAAAATATACCTTAATATAAATTTTTCATTCACTCATTATAATGAAAACCATTATTAAAAAACACAAGGAAGCAAATCAGAACCACCTTGAGATATCACCTTACCTCCATGAGAACAGCCCACATTACAGAGTTGCAAAGATGCAGATGCTGGTATGGGTATGGAGAGAGGGGACACTTACACACTGTTTGTGAGATTGCAAATTAATTCAGTCTTTTTGTAAAGAAGCATGGTGAATCCTCAAAGTGCTAAAAGTAGACCTTCTATTTGATCTCACAATCCCATTATTAGGTATCTGCCCACAAGAAAAAGAATCATTTTATCATCAGGACATTCGCACTAGAATGTTTATTACAGCTCAATTTACAATTGCCAAGGTATGGAAATAGCCTAAGTGCCCATCAACCCACAAAGGGACAAATAAACTGTGGTATGTGTATACCATCGAATACTATTCAGCCGTAAAGAAAGATGGAGACTTTGCATCTTTTGAATGTAAAGGATTTAGAGAACATTCTCCTAAGCAAAGTATCACAAGAATGGAAAAGCAAGCATCCATTGTACTCAAAACTAATACGAAACTAGTAGATGAACAACTATATGCCCACATTAGAGAAAAACATGATTAAATTCAAGCAGTGGGGGAGGGGAAGAGCAGAGGGGATTAGGTAAGCTCTTAACAGGCACAGTGTAAGGGTAGTGTAGGCACACTTCCTGGTGAAGGGCTCAACTACAACTTGGACTTTATAAGATAATCTAATCATATGTACCCTTACATTAATCTGAAATAAAAAGGAAAAGTTGGTATTTTAATACGTAGAGTACATTTGGCTTGATACATTTTTTTTTCTTCTGGGCTAGGTTTGAACCCACCACCTCTGGTATATGGGGTCGGTGCCCTACTCCTTTGAGCCACAGGCACCGCCCCAAGCTTGATACATTTTTAAAGCAAATATCTGAAATGAATTTCATTTTAGAAGATGGTTCTAATTTTACATTGCAGATAGATGTGTTTTTTCTATTCCTGTGAGAATTGATCTCTGTTTTTCGTGTAGGACTATTATCATAGGTACTGAAGAATATATTTAAAGTTAGATAGCCAGATTTTCTTAGCTTACTTGGAAATAAAACTTCTGAAATACAGAGGCCTACCTTTTTTGTTTCTCTTCACGAGATACAGAGATAAAATATTATGGTCTTTTCGGTTATTTGAATTGTGAATTGACCCACAGGTTTTCTGAATTTTATTATTAAGGAAAGAGGACTGGGTATGGACTACCATTATGCTCAAGGTTTCAAAATACTTACGTGTTTATAGATAGGAGTTCTGCTCTTATATTGCCCATCACTTGGTGATCTGTGTCTTGTTATCAGATGTAGAGGATATTCAGAACTCTTTATCTGGCAAATCATATATATTATAGGTTATAAAAATATCTACACATATCTTTACTTCTCAGGTATCTACCTTATTTGGAATTGACCATTTGAGGGCTACAAAACTTTTTCTTTTCCCAAACTCTCTGAGTTTATTGAAATTTCTAGCAAGAAACCCAGCTATCTTAGAGTTAGTTTTATTTCTTGTTAAAAATACTTGTTTTTGAGGGCTACAAAACTCTTATGTAGCTGTTGTAATTTAAGCATTCATAATGAATAAAGGCTTGGACCTAGATAAGTTTTTTTTTCATCTGGTTTCACGTATTAACCTGTATGCTTCTTAACGTAGGGGTTAGCATTCCTGGTGTTTTACCCCTGATGAATTATATCTTTTTGTGTGTGTGTTAGATGCCTCAAATGTTTGTTTTCTTATTCGTTTCAGTTTTGATGACTTCAGAACAGCAGTCTCCAACCTCAAGAGGCAGGCTAACAAGAAGAGTGAGGGCAGTCTGGCATATGTGAAAGGGGGTCTTAGTACATTCTTTGAAGCACAAGATGCCCTTTCAGGTAAGGTGATCCTCAGAGCCATCTGCTGGCAGCTTCCACAATTGGAAACCCGACACTGTGCTTGCAGGGGTGTTTACAGGGTGTGACATTCGGACTGTATTTATTAAAGTAGAGATCTAAAATGTGCCATAAATATTTGTTGCAGACGAGGCTGGCATCTCTTTGAAGGCTTGATACTTTAAAAATTTATCTCTGAGGCTTTTGTTGACCCATGTGTGAAATGAAAGACTACTTTACTTTTCTGTGATGTCTAATCTCCAGGGTTGATAAGAAATTAAATCTTACTGGGTAAAACTCTGGATTTTTAAAATCCTTTTGCAGCCATCAGTATCTTACATATGTGACTAATTCTATAAATGTGATTCATTGTGTGCTCAGTTTGGAAAGGGCTGATGACAAGGTATCATTCTTCTTAGCTCTTACCACAGCAGCCCTCCCCACACACACATACAAAGGCAGCTGTCTCCTTGCCTGTGCCATCATGTTTATATGGGAGGGAAGGTATATCAAGTACAACTGTCATAGCTTTAGACATTTCAATGAAAGATGTCGGTTTTTTATTAAACTACCTTTAATTAATAAAAGTTCAATTGTAGTTTAGTAAAATATATTAATAAAAGTTAACCCAATTCTTTTTAAACTAAGATACCTATAGCTATGTATCCATAACTGTAACTATAAATTAAGGGCTACACCTTCTTCAATTCAGAAAGACAAATTTTAAATTTAAATTGATTCGTATTCTTAAAGTATAGACATCTTTTGATTGTTTTTAAAACCCCTGTCCTCATGTGCCAAATGTACTTAATTGACTGCCAATGCATTAAGTGTATGTCTGATGCAGCTCTTTCCTTGCAGACAGAGGTTAGGTTTTTGAAGGGGTAAAATGTGAGTGTTTACGAGGACACAGAGAAACTAGGTCCTCTGCTTTGATAAATGCTTTGTGCCTGATGTTTCTTTTTCTTTTATTGTTCAGAATTTATTGAGGGTACAAAGAATTAGATTACACTGATTGCATTTGTTAGATCAAGTCCCTCTTATAATTGTGTCCCGCCCCTAAGAGGTGTGCCATACACCGTATCCTCCCATCCCCCTACCTCTTCCTCTCTCCCTTATTCCCCTAACCTCCCTTTGTATTAGATCATCTATTGCCTTCATATTAGAATTGAGTACATTGTATTCTTTCTTCTCATTATGATGCTTGAGGTTTTTCTTTCTTTGTGCTTATTGCTGTTCTAAGTCTCAGTTGTTAATCTTAACCATATCAGGAAGAGAGAGAAGAGCATATGTGAATAGAGTTTAGTAGAATCAAGTAAAATATGCCTAGTATCTACACAAATGATTTCCATAAATTATTATAAAGTGATTTATCTTAGCAAAAAGGTAGATTTGACATTTTTCTCCACTCCTTTTAAGAAACATTTATGTACACGTGGATATTTGTATTTGTTTATGCTTTTTGCTTCTATAAATGACTTTATTGTGGGCAGATTTTTAGAAGTTTTATTTGGTACATTAAATTTATATAGTCTCATTTGTTAGACATTCATTGTAGAAGTATGTTACTTAGTACATTAAATTTGTGTGTTCTCATTTATTAGATATTTGCTCTAAAAGTATCTTGGCAGCTTAAAGTTGAACAAAGAATGCTGACAAACTACTTATAAGTGGCATATAGAAACTGATTAAAATAGTCAATTTGAAAACTTTAGACACATGCTGTATATATAGCTTTTCTGCTTTTTGATGTGAAAGACATGCATATTATAGAAAATATTGTACAGGTAAATAGCTAGCAACAACTACTTCCATTGTAGAGATAATCACATTAACATTTGATATACTTCCTTTTGATTATTTTTTACCTTATCTGAGTACATATTATAAAACTGTGATTATATTGTATATAGAGTTGTGTATGTTAGGAACCAGTTTTATTTTTTAGAAAAAACCTGTTGTTCCTCTGGGAAATTATGTTAGTTTGCTATAACATTTGATTTGTTAGTAGGTTTTTATAATTTTTTCAGCTATAGTCTTAAATGAAAATAATCTGTAGTTTTGTAAAATGCTTCTTTTGTCAGGTTGTAGTGTTATTGTTATACAGAATCATATGGATATACATTGATGTGTGGGTGTATGTATTCTCGATGGAATATGTAGATTGGGAATTATATCTTTAAAATTTAAAAGAACTGTTATATAAAATAGCTCAATTAATTTGTTTTACTCTTCTATTATGAAAATTTTCAAACATGTTAAACTTAGAGATGATGGTATAATCAACTATATACCTATCACCTAGTTTTTTAAAACTCTTGTATTTCTTCATACTTGCTTTATCAGTATTTTTTGAAGTTGGTTTATTTGTGTTTTGCTAACATATTTTAAAGCCCCTCTCAAGGACCATGACATTTCTCTCCTGTATACCTTAGTATGAATCCCTCATGGAAAAACACGGATGTACCTAATCATAATACCATTATCATAGCTAACAAAATGTGCAGTAATTCTTCCATATCATCTAATTCCCAGTTTATGGTTAATTTTCTCCAATTATTCCCAGACTTTCTTTGTTATAGTTCATTTGTTCAAGTCAAGATCCAAATACAATTTAGGTTATTTCATTTGGTTTTTAAATCTCACAAGCCTCTTTTAAACTAGAAAAATCCCCTTATCTTCCCTATTCTGGTTTTGTTTTTTCATGCCATTGATTTGTTGAAGAAACAAGATTATTTGTCCTATGAGATACCACACACTGTGGATTTGACTGATTACTTCCTCATCATGTCATTTAACTTTTCTCTTCATTGTATAGGTTGAACTTATCTATTAGGCATTAGATAACATTCAGTTTCAACATTTTTGGCCACAAGCAATACTGTATGGTTTCTATTTTATCACACCAGAGTCCATTAGTGTCTGATTGCTCCTCCCGTAGAGACACTATAATGGATAGGTGGCTTCAGGGTGGGGTCGGCAGCAGCAGTTGATGTGTACTTTTAAAACCTTGTCATTCTATGTTTTGTTCATTTTGGTCTGGTTTTCCCTTGAAATTCTCTATTCAAGATTTTCTTATGTTTTAGCTATTGCATTATAATTTTTAAATCATTAAAAATTCATGATATAGGTCCTTTCATTATCTGTCTAGTTTACTTGTGTATTTTACTTCCTTTTTTAAAATATTGATTCTTTAGTGATAACATTTTGTCTAAAATTTTTTAATATTAATTTTCCTCTTAGACAAAGTAGTTTGCAGTAAATTTTTGTTTTTAAAGTTAGTCTCTAGTCTTATAATTTTGTTAGCAGAAAATATATTTCTTGGCTTGGTGCCCTTAGCACAGTGGTTATCATGCCAGCCACATACGCTGAGACTGGAGGGTTCAAACCCAGCATGGGCCAGCTAAACAATAATAACAATTGCAGCAAAAAATAGCAGGGTGTTGTGGTGGGCACTTGTAGTCCCAGCTACTTGGGGAGCTGAGGCAAGAGAATCGCTTAAGCCCAAGAGTTTGAGGTTGCTGTGAGCTGTGACACCATGGCATTCTACTGAGGGTAACATAGTGAGACTGTCTTTTAAAAAAAAAAAAAATATATATATATATATATGTATATATATTTCTTAATATTTACCAATTTTTAAAAAATATGCCAAAGATTTTTTTTAAAAAGGGGGGCATGTTCTCTTCAGGGTATGCTATTTGGTATTTTATCAGTGCCTGATTAATTACATTATTTAAATCTAGCCTATTTATAGTAAATCTGATGGACAAATCTCTCTATTTAATTTTGATTCTGTCAGTTTTTCTTTGTATGTAAAATATGTTTATGTGGTAACTTTCAATGGCTTAGATTCTCTTAATGTTATGATAACTGCAAAGTATGGGTAGTCCCCAAGATCACCCTCAGATTTGGTAATTGGCTAGAATTCAGTGCAACTCTGTTGCACTCTCAGTTATGGTTATTATAGGGAAAATGCACAGATTATAATCAACCAAGGGAAGAGGCACATGGAGCAGGGACAAGGAAAATTACAGTTGTGGAACTTCCAGTTGTCTCCCAGTGGAATTGTGGAAAGTGCTGACTTTTCTGGTAACAACGTGTGACAATACACATGGAGAACTGCCATCCAAGGAAGCTATCCAAACCTTGGTGTCCATATTCAGAGTCTTTACTGGGGCTTTGTCATATAGACATACTTATGTCAGACCTCAGTCTCCGCCCCTCAGAAGTTAAAGCTAATACTAAGTAACCAAAAGTCCTCACCATAAATGACATTATTAGACTATCTGGTGTGACTGAGGGCCCCCAGGTAAATGAGGCAATTTTATTAGTTAGAACATTCCAAGAATTTATAGATTATCTCCCAGGAGCTGAGGGGAAAGGCCACACCTTTGGGGGGTAAGATTAAATTCTTTACTGAACAGTAACATTGTGTTAACATTTTATACATTTATTTTTGTATATATTTGCTTAATATATTACTTATAATATGTATTTTTTGTAATCGTTTAGGAATTTTGTTTTTGACATGTGTCTTAGAAGCAATATGTGGCAGGATTTTTATTTTTTAAATATCATTCTGATGCCTTTACCCTTTCCTAGAAGAATTTAAGCCATTTATATTTATCATATTGAAAATTTTGTTCTATTTTCTTCTTCTTCAATTAAATTTTGTTCCTCATTTTTTTCCTCTTTGCTACATAGGGTATATTGTTTTCAGATTTGAGAGAAATGTTTTAAAATTGTTACAGGTTGTCTTTTAACTTCTATTACATATCTCAGTAATTTAGTACATCTTTATTTCCTGCTCTTTCCTATTTCTTAGTCTTAATTTAATTTGAAATGATAAACCCAACTTTATTTTACCTTTTCTTTTCCATTTCAGTATTCTGTTCTAAATTTATTTTTGTGTGTTGCATTTAATTTTATAAAATATTTACCAAAAATTTGCTTTAATATTTATTTAATTTGCTTTAATGTTTATTGTCAGTTCTTTTATA